AAGCAGTGGTATCAACGCAGAGTACTGTTGGTGTGGCAACTATTATAGGCAAATTAGAGGATTGGCTATGAGACAGAGGCTAGCTCCAACCTTGGCGATAGTTTTCATGTCTAAGGTGGAAGCCCCAGTTCTGGCGAGCAAGCCTCTGCTCTACTGTCGTTACGTGGACGACTGCTGTATCGTGTGCCCTACCCAGGCCGAGCGCTTCAACACCATGAATGCCCAGGACACGAACATCAAGATGACGAGGGAAAAACCCAAAGATGGATGGCTGCCTTTCCTCAACGTGCAGTTATGTCTGTCGGACAGACGTTTCAAAACCAGATGGTACCGAAAGCCGAGCAGCAAGAGCATCTTAGTACATCAAACTTCAGCACATCCTGCACGAATAAAGAAGTCCATCATAGGAAACATGTTTAGAACGGCTACGGGAGTTTCTTCTGATAGAGACGAGAAGATGCACTCGCTAGAGCTCGCAAGATCAGTAGCAAAATCCAACGGATACAGCACTGAAACTCATCACTACAGATACCGAGTCCACCGTATGTCACCTAGATCAGAAGCTGACGATCGGATTTCGTTTTGTCTACCATACATCTCGGAAGAATTTAGTAGGGCTGTTCGCAGATTACTCCATCAAGCGGACCTTAACGATATGGTGAGGATCGTCGACATTCCGCCCGCAAACCTTAAACAGAAACTAGTGCGAAACCGCGAGTATGATCGTATTTGTACAACTCCTAGTTGTGTAGTTTGTCCGTTTGGAAAGGCAGGAGACTGTATGGTATCAGGTGTTGTCTACCTTATCACGTGTACATCATGTGGAGACACGTATATTGGCGAGACGGGGCGCCCCCTGTGTACGCGCATCAAAGAACACTTAGATGGTCTCAGCAAATGCAACGTAGCTACTCCGTTAGGCATGCATCGCAGGCTCAGCCATGACGACGCGGAGGTGGGAGTGCAGGTTCGAATCCTGGCGCGTGAACTCGAAATCCTAGCGCGCAAGACACTCGAAGCGTTTCGGATAGCCGCCCAAAATCCAAAAATCAACCGGAAGGACGAGTGCCTAGCCATTACTAACGAACTGTCACCATACAGAGCCTCTGTGGCTTTTGAATAATGAGATTGGGTCAGCACCGGGTCACTAGTCAACTATAAAAGTTGAGCGGTACAGCTTTTGACATAAGTGGTCTGCACCCACCTAATTATTATCATCTTCTAAGGTGAGCACTGGCTTAATCTTGGTTTTGGTTGAGGCTGTTGTTTTTCCTAGGGGTTGGTCTCTTTTCTGTTGTCGATGGGTGTTTGATCGGATAGTTTACTTATGTGTCTTCGACTTTTCAGACTCTGAAGAAGGCGAGTTCGCCGAAACGTTAGTCTGTATTCTGTTCTGCGCGATAAATCTGTACCAATCTTGGACTACGCTCAAGCAACCAACGAGAAGATATCCTTAACGCTTTTCTTGTTGGAAAAAATTGGCTATCCTAATGTCTGCCACTCCAATCCACTCTGTGGTGGATTTCGTATCCTCACTCTCCCAACATGTCTTCACCAAAAATATCTAAATGTGGTTAGCTTTTGCAGCTCCTTCTCTTTGCAGCGCAATAAAATTTTGTAATTTTTGTCTCTGTTTTTCCAGTTTTTTGGAATCAAAAACAGAATGAACAGAATGCATGAGGATTCTTCATGAAAACTCAATGACCTAGCTGAACTGAGCTGTCACTCGGAATAGGGATAGGATGACACCACCTCCGTTTTATGTTCTGGGAATGAAAGTGTCACTGGCTGGTAAGCATGAGACCACGCTGGCACAAGTCTAACTTACGACGTGAGGTGAACTTACGGTAAGTGGGTAACAATAGCGGGTCACGTTATCTGGCTCAACATTGTACATCATCGTAAGCTAAACATGCGCATTCCTCCTTTTATGTACTTGATTCTACCAAGTTCAGTTGAAATTTTTTTTTCAAATGAGAATCGCGTGAAACAAGGCAAAGCATGTGATTGGGAGATTTAACATTTTTTGACTCTTTTTGTCATGCTTTTTATTCGATCTCATCACTAACGTGTTAAATCTCCCAATCAAATTGACTGATTTCAAGCTAATATGCCACAATTCTCCCTGGATTTGTAGTTGGCCTTGGATGAATCGGCTGAGGCAACACTAAGATCCACATTTGATGCTTTACATGAATTTTTTGTAACTAGTGGAAAGCACTCAGATGAGCCGCCAAACGAGTGCTGATGCCAAATTCATGAGAAAGGTGCACAATGTTAGAGCAAGTCCCCAGAAATATTTCAAATTATCGTTTGTGTCATTTACCTCAGCATAATGATCACACGATTCAGTCTCTTGCTGTTAGGTATACTTATTTTTGGTCATTCAGCAGGAAAGGCGTAAACTTGTCAGCTTATAGACATAGCTGCTATCTTAACAGAAGAAAACGAGTTGGAGAATGATTGATCTGTAGTTTAGAGATTCAGTTTATCGGGTCAATGTAGATTAGTTTCAAAGTGAATTTCTACCTAGCTCCTCTTTCCAGGAAATGTCCTTGTGTATACTCTCTCGCAAAAGCGTATTGCAATGGTAATCTCGTACAATGCGGACTGAACAAGCACTTGTGCAGCACTTTTTTCTTCCAGAATTTACGGAGTATAGGGCAAATGGCAAACAATGGCAAACCCAGATAACTGTAGCGAAACTAAAAGGCAAAAAGAAGGCAGTTCACATTCACATGGCAGTTCCAGTCGGCACTCATAGTACCTCGAAACAAATATACAAATACCCATGAGGGGCTACATATCACCGTCTATGGTGATGAGCCTATGTTCTGCGACAGCACATCGTCCTCTTGCATCTGCGATAGCGTAGTGGACACGAGCAACCCGCTCCTTGCGGTTGGCAGGAGATCATTCCGGACGACTGGCACGAATTAGCGCATGATGATGCGCACGCTGGTGCGCATTGTGATGCCTGGAATGTTTATCGATTGATTGTGCGGTTTGCTGTGGTGGTAGTTTGACCGTACTGGATTCTGATCTACGCATTGTGCGTTGCAAGTCTGTTGACATTGCGGCAGGCAATTTGGCGAAAACGCAGAAACGGGTACATTTACAGTCAGCACAATCTGCTAGAATGAAAAGGTCGGACATGGAAAGGGAGTACTATAGGATTACTGTAATGTAACTTACTGCTGGCTGTCCTTGGATGCACGATACAGCACAAGATGGTTGGCATGCGGGCATGCAAACTTGCTGAGTAGTCTGGAATGCAAAAGTTTAGCCTTTGCCTCACAAGGGTGAGAATACAGTATACTTACCGTAGTTCCGCAAACTGATTGGCATTGTACATCACATTGTTATTGACAGTTCTCTCCACCCTGTTGTTGACATGCTTCCATGCAAGCTGTTTGACACTGGCTGCACGGATCTTGTGGGTACTGTAAAGAATAAGACCATCAATTTCTGAGGCAAGCCGCGCCCCTTAATGGTGTATCTCGTACAAATTCATCTAAAAATTCTCAAAAATTACAGTTCATCTATCTTCCCGGCCCCTTAAATTTACAAGAATTTTTCTAGAAACTTGCAGGTGAATATAATCACCGGTTGGTAAAGCGAAGGTGTCGTGCTGGGTGCACCGCACACTGATGCACAATTTCGAGCGCAAGCCTCTTCACACTGTTGCTGAGGCTGTCCCGCAGCTGCGCACTCGTTCATACATGCTCCCATACACTGTTGGCATGGATCCTGATCGTAGTAAGGAGTTGGCTGAAATATACGGTATTACTATGGACAAGCTTGAAGTACAGTAAACTTACAGTAGGCGTGATTGGCTGGTAAGTGATGGGCACGGTAGGATAGGTGATTGGCGCCATTGTTGTGGTTGTGGGTGGTGGAGTTGGCGGAAGGGTCGGTGGTGGAGTGGGTGGCATGGTGGGAATGGTGCTGGGCGGGAGGGTTGGAATGGTAATGGGTGGAAGGGTGGGAATAGTGGTGGGTGGCATGGTGATGGGGGGTAGGGTAGTGGGTGGCAGCGTAACCGGTGGCAGTGTGGGTGGCACAGTAGTTGGTGCGGTAGTTGGGATGCTTGGTGGACTGTAGATTGTCGTCGGTAGCGAAGGTTCAGCGCTATAAAAGGGAGATATACGGTAATGATACGGTAAAACTCTGATATAGATACAATATCGCTCAAAGTCTTTCTAATTCTTTCCTTAATATCCTTTCTGCACCAAGATTTGCACTTTGTGCCAGCTATTCGCAGAATTTTTCCGTACCTTCCAAATCATTTATGCACACAAGTATTGACGCCTGCTGCACACAACAATAACTTCCGAGCAGTTTTTATGTTTCTTTACCTTCTCCAATGCGCACACAATTTCTTGGGATAATCCGATATTTGCTCTAACTTACCATCCAGCCTGGCAAGATTGTAGGCAAGCATCTTCATTCGGTTGTCCTCGACAAGCGATCTCGCATTGTTGTACACACGAAGAAGCCTGCAAAATAATTTCTTAAACGGAAGAGTAAAAATTGAAAATTAACAAACCTGTGGACTACACGATGCTATGCAAGTGTTTCCACACATTTGTTGGCATTGCCAGACTGGCATAGGGCATGTGCTCATGCAAGCGGATTGACACTTCGGAGCGCACTGTAATGTTTATTACCGTCTGACTACCGTAATGCGAGAATTGCAATAAAAGCTGAATTACTTGTTGAACGGCACATTGACATGACGAGAACTGTAGCGCTGGCAAACACGAACAACCTTGTTGTATGCAGGAACACATTGGCACGCAACAACGACGCTTGCGAATCTGAAGAGTTACTAGCTATACTGTTGCATGCTACAGTAACCGGAAGAATACAACTGCACTACAACTTCCAGTTAAATGCTACATCAGGGAGAATACAACCATGCTGTGCATGCTGCACTAACTGGAAGAATACTGCTATATGTTGCATGCTACAGTAATGGAGAGAGTACAAATATACTCTTGCATGCAGCAGTACTTAGTAGGATACAATTATGCTGTTGCATGCTACAGTGGTGTTAAGAGTACATGGGAATACAGTTATACTGTTGCATCGTACAGTACCTGGGAGAACACAAATGTGCTGTTGCATGCTACAGTAATGGAGAGAATACAACTATATTGTTGCATGTTACAGTAACTATGAGAATACAAGTTCTAATAGACATTTTCGATTTGCACGATAAGACTATTATATTACAGGCGAACAAAGAACAGAACAATCAAGATACCGCAATTACACTAAAATTTGAAGTACAGTAAGTGTAAACTAATGTAGACAAATAAGAACTTACCGGTTCAGCCGAAATGAATGCAATCGAGCAGACGGCGACGATGCAAAGAAAACGCATGCTTGCTCGAGTGGAGAACGATGGCAGAGGTTGTCCGGAGCGCTTTATATCGCTGCCGTCGCGTCCGTTCCGGTCCGGCTTCGATGTTGACGTGATCCTGGCGATAATTCAGGATAAAAGTCAACTTTTGAGTTGTTCGAAGTTCTTATTTGTTTGTGCGGTCGTCGTCGTCGTCATCGCCTTCATGACGGCGGCGACGTCGACGTTTGACGCGCGCGTCGCGTGTCAAACCTTGCGGTGCCTACTCTCTGGGAATTCCGCAGAAGAACCGGTCCTGCTGCGTCTGTACTCCGCCATGTGTACAATGAAAAAGCGTCCTGCACAACGTATTAAGCTACTCTAGTCTTGTCATTAATCTCCAATAATCCGATAGTCATATCAACAATTTGTGGAAGTGTTTTCACATAGGCCTCTCAGACTTTCTCGGATGAGTTTTCCTGGGTGTTAGGTAATCATAGATTTTACGATCAAAGCTAAAGGATTTAGGTTTCCGGAATGTTTCGGTCGAGCATCCTACAAGTGTTGCTTTGATGGAAATAAAGATGGAAACAAGACGAAGACAAACAAAGATACAAACAAGGATTTCTAAGAGATCTTGGACGCATTCGATGCAGCATTTCATTCTCTTTCTAATGGTTATGAAATTGTTGCAAAATAGTCAAAGAGCTTTCACAAATAACCAAAATCTGCGGCTTATGCTTCTTGAGATGGTCAAGTTTTAAGATTTTTTAAAACTTCACCTCAATTCTCAGAAGCAGTTCAAGCAACAATTCGATAAAGTAAACATTATCGGATACAGTGCTACTTTTTTCTCCTCTCCGTAGCTTGTTATACATTTTTAACAGAATTTTAATTGATTCTACCGATTTACATACTTGGACAGCTAAATCCTCGTAGAACATCAAAAGAAGAGCAGTTCGCGCACAAATCGATGCAGCATTTTCTCCTCTTTCTAACAGGTGTTTTTTGCTTCCGAATCGTTTAGTTTCCGGGAAGAAATCATCATAAGTCATTTTTTAACGAGCCCCAGGCTGTACCCGAAAAACTCGAAATTTGATTATTCGAACCCGTAAACCCTCATTTGCTTTGTAGATCAATGCTAAGTCATAGTACCATCTTGGTAGTCTCAAATTCCGAAAAATTATGATGTTTGATGCAATTGTGGCTGAGGTGGGCCTGCCAAAATCCGATAGTTCTGTTAAAAAATCTTTTAAAATATTATGACGAGCTACGAGGAAGAGAAAAAAGAAGCACTGTATTCTATAAGTTTTACTCTATCAAGTCGTTACTTGAATTCCTTATGAGGATTGATATGAAAGTTTTAAAATTGTGAAACTTGACCATCTCAAAAAACATGGGTCGCAGTTTTTGGTTATTTTCTGAAAGCTCATTGACTATGCTGCAATAATTTTTTAATCGTTTGAGAGAGGACGAAATTCTGCATCGAATGCCTTCAAGATCTCTTAGAAACCTTAGTTCCATCACATGTGGCGTCCGTTTGAAAAAACGAAATTACTTTCGGAATGACCTAATAGATTCCAGTTTTAATCAACATCCTCATTTACCCCCCCCCCCCCCCTGTACCAACTCCCAACCTCGTAGCTCAAGATTTTCCAAAAATCAACAAAATCTCTTTTCTGTCTAGCCAGACTGTTTATACGTGTTCAAATGGTATTGTGTTTTTTTCAGTTTTGGCACACCTTTGTTGTATTTCAAATAAATAAATAAATAAATAAAAACGATAAAGTAAATTTTTATTCATATAATGTCTCGGTCGAGCAGTCTCGAAGCAGCCGGAATGTCTCGGTCGAGCATCCTACAAGTTCTGCTTTGATGGATAGTGAAAGAGCAGCAAAAAGAGTTTTGGGCCAGTTATTGCATTCCTTTTCCTTCTCACCTACCATAAAAACATTTTCAGAATCGCAAACTATCGACCCGGCTATTGTTAAGGGGGGAAGGTGGCTTTCTTCATGAGCAGCGATGGCTACGCCTTTTCCTCAAATAAAACCATTTTGTTTATTATGGCACACCTACACGTGTCCTTGATGTAGGAATGCTGATACAGCCAATGCAGTAGTCGCTGCCAAGAAAAATGGCAAATCATTATAAAACACTGAAGAAAACACGCATTCCAAGTTGTAGCTACGATATCCACCACTGCAGCTTTGAAGAAAACAGATTATTGCGTAGTATGAAGGAACCCTTTGTACCGAGCAATGCTCTTGCGTGAATGAGAGTGTGTAGCTGCCTAAATGAAAATCAAGAAAGAAACGACGTTAAAAGCTCAAATAATTAGAGAGGATAAAGGACAGGCATGCTGTGAGTTGCGAATACCGAGAGCCGCAGCATGCTGTAAGGCTTTAAATGCTCCAAAAAGCCCCCCCCCCCCCTCCCCTGCGTTGGTGTGAATGCACGAAACGAAGCGCTCATCGAAGTTATACTTCAGTAAGCAATCAAAAGCATGATCTCTCAGTATCATGAAAGACGAGATATATTGCTGCTAGTCCTTCTATTCTACTCTATTCTATTTACACGATTTCGACACTTCAGTGCTGGTGCTCCTTATATGGTATGTCCAAACCAATTATTGTGAATGGAATCAAGTTTGAGTAGTGACGGAGAAGTTGGACGTACGTTTATGAAGAAAAACAAACAATTAATCTGCAAAGCTTGTTTCTACGATATCACTGTGTTTTGCAAACTCAACGTTGACATTAGCAATGCAAGCAGCTTGGGCAACGCGGCCGCAGTAATCCACTTCCTCTTTGAATTGAAGTGCACTTGGCCATTTTTTTATGAGAGCGGATGAAATAAATAAAGTAGGCAATGCGTGTGTCTCAAGTGCATTCTAGGTTGTAGGCCGCTCGCACACGTCCAGACTTTTGTACCTCTTTATTGATTCAAATTCACGAAATTATAGCAGCTCATTGAGCAAACCGCGAAGACTCCTGTTGAGAACAGCTAAACGATGTTTTCAAACCTTTATTTTTAATTATTTTTATCGTTATCGTAATATTAGGTCGGTGCAAAAGTTTTGTCAGTTTTTCAATCCATCGGCAAATACGTTAGAATGAAGATAAACTAACACTTCAAAATGGATCCGATGCTGAATTTCTTCCTCTCTTCAGTTGCCAATCTCCCATTGTGTTTTGTTGAAAGAGTGATGAGATATTCGCTGGAAATTGCAACCATTCGTTTTTACCAAGTCCAGCTTTCAGTAACTATCAAAACTTTTGTATGAGACTTTCGGAGGAGCACTAGTAACCAGCAGATAGGGCAAACTTTTTGCCAACTTATGCAATTTTTTTCCTTTTTTTCAACTGCTTTTTCGGATTTTTGCTAAATAATTTTCTAAAAGTCTTGTGTTTTGGAAAAATCGCATAAACTGTTGTTGCACCAAAACTGCAAAACTACAGAATACTCAGGTTTCAACACTCAATTATTATTAGGTTGTCCCAAAAGTAAACCGTATTTTTGAATAAATCAAACTTTTTTTTTTGTTTTTCTGGCAGAATTGGGGCACCATTCGATAGAGCGAGACAAGCTCTGCAAAATGACCACCAAGAGTCCGCTCAAGTCGCTTTCCATGCAAAGTTTGAAGCCAAAATCGAAAAAAAATTTTCACCTGAAAATTGGATTTTCGCGAGGAAAAACCTTACGGACCCCCAACTTGGTCGTTATATAGCAGACACATAGTAGTACTCAAATAAGCTTTTGCCGTATTTTTTCCGAGCATAGAAAGCGAGAAACAAAAATTGTCCAAAAATGGCAAACTCCGCCCCCAGCTCCTCCCACATATGTGATTGTATACCACAAGCCTTACTAAGTACAATTTCAAAACCTTACCCCTTTATGTGCTCTTATGTTCGAGAAATACCAAGTTTTACATTAAAAACCCGAAAAAGTGGCATTTTGGGACCCCCTTCGTTTCTCAATTTTGAACTCCGGAAGAAATCAACCAAAATCACTTTTCGATACTACTATGTGTCTACTATATAAGGACCACGTTGGAAGTCCGCAGGAATTTTCTGGAAGGAGATCCGATTTTTAGGGTAGCTGAAAATTTTTGATTTTTGTATCATTTCACCTGGATAGCGACTCAGACGGTTCTTTGGCGGTCATTTTGTAGAGCTTGCTTCGCCCTATCGAATGGTCCCCCAAGCCTGCCAGAAAAACAAGAACAGTTTAATTTATGCAAAAATACGATTTACTTTTGGGACAACCTAATACTACCGCTACCATTACAAAGTGAATGAGCGATTTTCGCTTCAAATTATGAACATTTTCGAACATAGGTCACGTCAGTGCGCACTTCTGAAATTGAGAAATACTGCGATTTTCCCCCACGTATTTCGCCTGATTTGGCAAAAAAGACAAGTGTTAGAACGAGGAGAAAAAGTTGCAAAATAGTCGATTGGTGACTGAAATGCTTAACATTTTATGTTCTACGAGCTTAAAATAGGCTGAATCGAAAATTTGGTCACTTCAAAAAATAAATCGTAGAAATTTTAAAAGACAAGCTGCAAGGTTACAAAAAATTGCTTCTGTTGGCAAAAGGGTTGCCTTATCTGCCGGTTATTAGGGCTCCTCGGAAAGTCTCATACGAAAATTCTGAAAATTAACAAATTTGGACATGGTAAAATCTAATGGCTGTAATTTCCAGCAAATATCTCGTCACTCTCGCAACTTTACACAATACTAGTTTAGCAGCTGGAAAGAATAAAAAATTCCGCATCGGATACATTTTGAAGTATTTGTTTATGTTCATTCTAGCGTGTTTGCCGATAGATTGAAGAAATTGACAAAACTTTTGCACCAACCTAATATAATTAGTCGTCAAGTTTCGTAACTTTTGCAAGTTCTCCGTACTAGAGCATCGTTTCCTTGCAAACAAGAAACGCGCCTTCTCCAATTTTCTGATGGTTTCAACTAAGAAAACATCGACTAAAGTACCCGCTGATCTTTTCGGCTTATTTTGCCAGATTACGAGAGAAAGCAAT